CCATATGGGACTACGAACACAGGATCAATACCTTGACCACGAAGGGGGTCATGTTCAACTGACTGGCTGGCAACAGAGGGAATGTTAAAGAGGATGATGAAGATGACAGTTCAACGAATGAGCCACAAATGGTCAGGACATACAGCAAAGAGCAATATCCGACCACAGGTCCAGCAGATCGGCCACCTCCTGCTGAGGAGGGAGGACCACCCTAACTTAACCATCAGGACGATGATCTTAAGGAGGGGGTAATGTTACGATTTTTCCTATTTTCTTTTCTTTTTCCTCGGAAATGACCCCTATCTCTGCTTAGTCAGGGCACTTAGGCCAGCGCTTAGGACCGTGGGAATGCTTAGCTCAGCAACCCAGTCAGTCCTTGTCATATCGCACTGCTGTGTGCTGTGAAGGGAGAGACAATGACCCTTTTGTCCTCTGACTGTGGTGCAGCAGTAACAGCACACAGCAGGACAATAGTTTTTGTGGAGAGACTGGCAACAGCAGGGGAAACAGCACAACAGCAAGACAACAGCTTTTGTGAAAGGGTTATTAATAGCTAGATAACAGAACAGTATATAAGGAGTGTAGCTCTTGCTGTAAATACTCCAGTCTCGAACTAAAGTTTTACTTCACCATCTTATCTCGAGCTCCTGCTACTTGCAATGCCTTGACCTCACAACACTCTCAACACATCAGTGAACTCAGTCGAACATACCTGAAGTGTGAGGTACCGAACTGTTTATCACATGTTGATTGTCACGTGGAATTTGGGCTTAACAAATATAGTTATTATTTCAATCTAATCCTCTCTCTAAGTGACAAAGCAACTTAAATAAATCACTAAGTCAAAGCAGAACTCAAAATCCATTGTTCCAGGGACTAGCTACAGTAGGCTAGAAGGCCTGAACATGGGGGTGGGTCACTTGCTTACTATTTCCCCCCTCATTCTCTTCTTTTATACACCAACAACAGGTATAGAATCTATAAATAAAGCATTCAAAATAATATTTCTCCTGTTTAAAGCAGAATCATGCCATTATTCTGGAATGGCAGCACTCCTGGACTCCCCTAGGCTTGCCCAAACCCACCTGGCCACCGCACAGCTTTATTTTAAGCCTACAGTGCCTGTGGGTATCTAACTCTTTTCTGTCTACTCAGAGTTTTAATCCTTTAAGTTATTCTTAGTAGCTTGATTGATCAGGCCTGATCAGGCCCGGTCAACTGGTCCTACCCACTCTATTCCTCTCAATTTTAAGTCCCTTAGATCATCTGATACCTAGAAAATTTGGACTTAGGCATTTGAGTCAAAACTCACAGTGCTAGCCACAGATCATTGGGTCTCTCTTCTTACTGCTTCTGGATGATGCTATCTCTACTCAATACTCCACAACTGGCTATGGTATTATACCTCTAGCTATCTTAGAATATACTTGTCTTAGTGGCATGTAGAATTGGCCCCATTTGAGATACCATTTCTAAGTCCAACTTGGACTTAGTATTTTCCAAGGTGTGGTGCAGAACTTTTCTAAGTTCAAACCTGACTTAGGATTTTTATCCTTAAGCCATGTTATTTTACAAAGTCCCTTTTGGACTTAGTATTGGTGACTAGCATGACTATCAGCTTGGAGCCTCAGCCATAGTCCTTTACTGGCTAATGATTCTCAGTTACTAGCATATTCTAGTGTGTTATGCAGAATTTGCAAATTATAGGGCTGGACATGTAGCCTGCATATCACCAGCACAGCTGGATGATCACCAATAATCCTAACAAGATACCAACAATAGATGCAAAGAGTTCAAAGAACTCTTGGTCAAAGTTCAGGTCTGATATATTGATTGAGGACATTCAGTTTCCTCCACACTATAGTGCATGAGGAAAGGGAAAAGAAAGCTTTGAGTTAATTGTTAGACCTAAGCATCATGTGAACAGAACCATGTGATAAACAGAAGTTCCTTTGCACTTTGAGGGATTGACTGAATTCACTGATGTGGATTCTGATGTGTGTCACAAGACCTTGGAGTTGGCTTGAGTATAGGATGGTATAGAAATAAACTTTAGCTTGAAGCTGGGAATTACCAGTGAGAGGGAGTGGTCTTAAATACTGTACAGCAGCATTCTAATAATACTATTACCTATTGTATATTTCTGAATCCCTTGTGCCTATTGTCTTAGGGTATCACTATCATACACAAAAGAGTAATTGTGCATTGTTAAGCATTATTGTCATATTGAAAGACAATGACAGACTCAGCTGATTGTGATGACTAAGTCTCATCTCATGGTCTTAAGCATTTTCTTTAGCACTCTGACTAAGCATAAATAGGGGTTAACTCAAGAAAAAAATAGAAAAAGATAGAAAAATCATAACAGAAAGCTGAAATAAATAGCAGGACAATTAGAGAACTGGTGATCAGTGAAGGTCACTCCCTGTTAGCACACTTGAATGCCAATAAAACTATAGCTTACCTCTATGATCATGTCTGATAGAAGACATTAGTAGTAGATGTTCATGACTTCTGCATATTTTGCCAGACCTGCAAATAGTCAAAGCCATCCAATCAATATCCCTTTGGTCATTTGAACCCATTACAGATATTCAGTTGACCTTGGCAGATGATTGGTATTGACTTTGTGAGCCCTCTCTCTGATTCATCTAATAGAGATGGTGTCTTTAACTCTATAACTGTTATAATTGATATTCTTTCATTGATGGTCCACTTTGTATCTAGCCAGACAGACTACATCACACCTCAAGTGGCTGAACTAATGTTTGACAATGTGTTCAAGCTTCACAGATTGCCTGAACATATCATTTCTGACTGTGATGTCCTCTTTATGAGTGATTTTTGGACCTCACTCTATAGGCTCATGGATGTAGGCTTGAAAATATCAAGCTCTTATCATCTTCAGACTGATGGCTCCATGGAATGTGCCAACTGAACTGTGATACAAATGATTCAGTCATGTATATCACCAGACCAGAAAGATTGGGTGCTATGTCTGCCTGACATTGAGTTCACCATTAACTCATCAAGCTCTGAATCAACAGGGTTTGCACCTTTCTTTGTCAATTATGGCCAGATGCCTCATACATTTGTATAGTCTGCCCTGTCAAATGATATGTATCCTGGTGTTCACAAATTTGCCCTATAGATAAAGCATACTATTCTTGCTGCTTATGTCAAACAGACTCAGGATACAAATTGTTGCTGCTGCCCTTCCCCATTTGCTGCAGGAGTTTGGCCTACATCTTGATATCAAACTTGACATTGCTGAAGGGTTTGGCCTGTAAGTTAGCACCTAAATTCATTAGCCTTTATTAGCTGCTGTCAGATTTTGACAACAACTCTTTTGAGATTGACCTACCTCCTGAACTGAAGCATTGTGGTGCCCATCCAGTCTTTTATTCGTCACTGCTATGCATCCATGTACCAAAGGATGACATGCTATTCTCTGATCATGCTGATATGACAATTGGCCTGGCTGAGGATGATGATGCTGTAGAGTGGCAATTGAACCACTTCTTAGCTCACAAGGGCAGAGAGGAATAAAGCCTCTTTCAGGCTAAATGGTCATCTGATGATATCACCTGGCTGTCTGTTGCTGAAGCTGAGAAATTCTCTTGCTTTCAGAATTATCTTGATATTCTAGAAGTTTGTGATATTACAGAACTTTTATTTTCAACTCAGAAGCCAACAGAGGCACTTCTGGATGTGGTTCATATCTCTTAGAATGATATAAAGGAGAGAAATACACTAGCCTCTCACAAGATAACTATGCCCCTTGCTGTCCTGAGTTTCTTTCCAAAAAACTCAGACCTTCTCATCTTCTCAAATACCAATGGGACTTGCACCATGTCTTGTGCTCTGATCCTCATGTACTTGTGCCATGATAGGTATCTTCATAGCCATAAATGTGAGGCTGATCATGTGAAGCCTATCAGATATGAATGCTTCCATGTACATTGGAATTCCTACCCTATAATAATATGTTTCCTTGTATTTGAAGAGGAGGATGGTATGATAGTCATCTAGAGTGATGAGAGCCCTACTATAGATGACTTTCTCCTCTCCCCTTTGAAGAAGCACTCTGCTGAGAGAGACATCATGTTGAGGGTTTCAAAACTCTCAGACATGAAGAGATTGCACTGGAGGCTGTTTTCAGTGAAGTGGCTTCTGCTCAGAAGTGCACATGTCACCAAAAAGTATCTTGTCAACCTCAGGCTGGCCAGTGATGTTACTTTGAGAGCAGCTCATAGGTCTCTACACCTGATGATATAATAATAATCCATGAGAATTGTTCTGCATCTGTGTTTACTCCAGCATTAAATTCCTTGGCTGCAAGCATGGTCTCTCCACTCACTGAATGTCTCAGGACTCTAATCTCTATGCTGACTGCATCTTCTTCCACTGAAGAACCAGCCACCTTGTTTGTTTTTGATCTCAAGCCTACTATCAGAGTCATGGTAACCTCAAAGGATACACCTACCATTGCATCCCCTCTGCCTGAACAGAATGTCATGATGGATGAATACACTGTGCTATCTAGGATAGGACCAGACACAGATAACCTGTTCAACTTTGGGGATGTCGATCTTTCAGATGCAGAAATTGGCTCAACTGCTGATTTCATCTCCATCTAGCTTCAGGCACTTGCCATGCATAGCACTGGAGGGTATATATAACACATCAAATGATGTCAACCCTCTTACCACTTCTAATTCATCCATTATCTTGCTATACTCTCTTTTTGACATTACACTCAGCAAATTACTTGATATCTTATCTTACTCACTCTATCCTTCCCAGTTCCCTCTATATTTGATTTCTCTATGAGTATATAAACTCTTCTTATATTAGATTAGACAACTTTTTCTCGAATCAAAGTATTGCTTACCTGGTCTTTGCTTCACTCCACTAAAGATCCTTGCATAATGAAACTGTGATATGTCTTGCTTTCATTACAGTTTTTGTGCTTAATCTCCTTTCATGCCATACATCAGATTCTGATGAATACCAAATACCATTACATGCAATTCTCTGTGTCTCCAAAGATATCTAATGTGCTCTCTGTGCACCAGGCTATACAGAGCACTCTCATACAAGTATTTGGTGTTGCTGATAGGTCAATATACCTAGATATCCTATGGGTGGCTGAGGAGGGCAATGAGACAGTCATATGAATGACAAAAGGGTGAGTATAATTTTCTTTGACATTCTTCCACTGCTAATGTCCATTCAAAAGAGATTCAATGATGATTGTTGCTGCTGTCACTTCAGCCTCAACACTAAGGATATTGCTGCAAAAGGAATCATTGTTCCTGCCTGTGCTCAGTAGCACATTGGCAACACTTGATGAAGAAGAACACTTATGAGTACTGAATATCAACAGTGCTACAATTTATTTGATCAGGATATATATAGTCAGACAATTCCTAGTCTATCCAGAATGTGACCTATAGATCTTCCTGTTCAAAATGATAATGCTTTTCTGTCTCAGCCACTAGACATTCATCTTATGACTGCAATTTCCATTCATGATTAGCTGCAGTTCTCATCCAAGAACAAATGTTCAGTGATTACAATATACAAAATAGAATGCTCTCAGATCTAACTCTTCTGGCTCTTAAAACAGAGAGAAGATGCATGGTTACAGCTCTAAAACATAGTTGACCAGACTTCAGCCAAGTAAGCAATTTTTTTACTTTGCCAAGTTGTCATATCTTCAGGCTTTTCCTCTCTGTTACATTCTTGAACCATCTCTTACCATCAATTACTTAAAACAAACTCATGGCTACTCTTATTCATATGAGCTATTATGCAGCATGCCTCCACCAACTCAGTTTTGACAGTATCCCATCCTAGCAATATGCTCACTATAATGAAAGAAGTAACATAACATTAGATTGGAAACAGTTTGGCAGGGGAACAAATAGATGGGACATTCTAATGTTTCACATTCAAGACCAAGTTTGACTTGATATCAGTGTTCATGAACCAGTTGGACTGTGACCATAATATCATCATGGCCTGGTCATACAAATGCTCTGGGAGCCATCTGAGTCAGTGTTCTAGACTGCAGAATTGCTTTCTTAAAATATAAGAACTTTGAAACCAGAACTTCTCTGAAGGAAGGGTTAATATGTTATAGTCTACTATTGTTGAACTAATTATTCCTTCCTAAGAATGTCAGAAAAGATATGAGATAACATTTGTTGATGGTCATTCCCAAAGTGGATCTTATTAGCACTGTATAATGTTTAAAAAGGCTCAGAAATCTATCTAGTAACAAGAGCAAGAGTCTGTAGTCAATTGCTGAGACAGTTTTTTGATCATCAATGCCTGAATCACTCAAATATGGAGCACCATCAGGTATAAAATGCAGAGGCAATAATGTCTTTAATCACACAAATTCCCACACAACTCAGCAGAACATATCATCTCTACAATTGTTGTTGAACAATGACAGATGTACTGTCTGCCAAAATACTTACTATGATTATTAAAGAAGCATGGGTTCTTCCTCTCACACTCTTTGAATGACTCATAATGGTGATCTCATCCCTTCTCATGAGCAAGTCATTCTCTTGAAAATTCACTCACATGTTCTGTACTGACATACACATTCTCACACCTTTCCACCTTAACCATGTCATTGACTGTATCCTATAATGAGACACTGTAGCCTTCCAGTGTGCCTACTCTTCATTTTTGCCATCAAAGTTCTGCTGGTCTCTATTCTTCACTCTTGAACTTGATATTCATCAATATAATCCCATAGTACATGTTAGACTCAAGCTGCATGTGATCAGAAGCATGTGATAGACTAGTATGGTTTTGTATTTGAATCTTTGTGCTAGAGTTCACTTATTGTGTTCTGTTGACCAAATGCTTTAAGGCCTTTGCAAGTATAGCTTAAGAGTAGAATGAGATGAATGAACTTTAGCTCAAAGCTGGAGTTTTACCAGTGAGAGCTATTCTACTTATATACTATAGAGATTTTGACTATAAATAAAGCTACCTATTGTGTTGTTATTCATTGTAATATCTCTTATCCTTGGTTGTTGCTACTATCTACAAAAAGTTCATTTGCACATCATCAAGCATTGCTGTTGCATCAAAAGACAATGACTAACTAGGCTTGTTGTGCTGACTAAGCATAAATAAAGGTTTAGAACAAAAGAAATTAGAAAAATCATAACATTACCCTCTCTTTAATACTATCATCCTGATAGCTTAATTTAGAGATAATTCATACTCATATATGGTGTTGTCAGCATTCATATGCTTTTCATTGACCTATTGGTTAGATTCAGGACTATAGCTCTTCCAGCTGACCAAATAGTCAACTGTAGTGGTCATTCTGCCATCTTTCACCTTGACTTTCTGCAGTTTATGATTTAAGATCTAGTCAATTTCATAGTGTTCTTCATCATTGATGAGGTTAGACAGACATGGAGGCAGACATTCTTGGTTTGAGAAGGCTGAGACCATAAATAGAGTAAGAAGTGATTCATTAAAAACATTATGTACTTTTCAGTTTACTGGGAGGCATAATTTATAGGCAGAGGTACTGACTTTTGCAGTGATAGTAAAGGGGTCAGTGTTAGGCTCAAGTAATATATGACCACAAACATATGATAAACAAGCATTGTATTGAGTTTGTACAGTCACACCTGAGTCCACTAAGTGTCTATAGCAGGATTGTGTCTTAAGATCAATATAAGTTGACTCAAAATAAAGTGATAAAATAAAGGATAGCTTAAGGCTAAGGATATATGATGCTTTCTATGCTACTTATATACTATTTGTCTCATAGATAAATATACACCTTCTAATCATGCATACTCAAGTTATAGTGCTTATTGTCTTGCAGTATCATAGTTATCTATAAAAGAGATGTTGTTCTGCTGTTAGAGCATCACTATGTGTGAAACAATAGCTGGTTGTGCTGACTAAGATTGTCCCATAGTTCTCAAGCACTCACTTAGATGCTCTGACTAAGCATAAATAGAGGTAAAAAAAAAAGAAAAAGAGATAAAATCATAATAGCCAGCATGTTTATCAGTGAGTTTCTGCTTGGGGTAAAGAAGATGGAGGATGGAGATATCCAACCAGATATGATCATTGATGGTATAAGAATGAGCAGGTTGATAATATTTGTCATACTGTTTTTTCATAGTCAATGCTGCTTTTTTCAGAGCAAGTTGTGTTTCAGTGTAGATTTTGGATATTTCTGGAGTGAAGTCATAGGAAGCAGGAGTGGACATTGTTATCCATTCAGTATGAGAGATGTGCAGATGGTGGCTAAAGTTAACAAAGAAAGGTATTTTTCCAGTGGCCAAGTAGATGCAGTTGTTATGTTGAAAGGCTGCTAGAGCAAGCCATTCTATTCAGTCATCTTAGCAATAGTTAATAAAAAGTTGAAGGTATTTTTTGACTTCTTGATTAATCCTCTCCATTTGACCATCCATCTGAGGATGATATGCTGTTGAGGTGTTTCATCAGATATTAAGGAGCTTATACAGGTCATCCAAGAACTTGGAGATGAATTATAGTCTCCAGTCAGAGATTACTATCTGTAGCATCTTGTATTTTGCATACACCTTGTCACATAGAATTTTTGCCCATTGATATGCTTAGTGGCAGCTAAGTGACTAAGAGAGGTGAATGAGGAATGAAATCTCAAACACCAATATCTAATCACTCAATACACAATCACCAAATACAGTTGAGGTTGGTTGTTTTGAGTATGATAGAAGCACTCTTGCAGTCTTAAGTAAAATCAAAGAAACAGTCAATAAAGACAGTTATTCAACTCTATCTTACTTTCTAAGATGCAATACTCATGAGAGTAGTTTATAGCAATGTTTAAGTATAATTAGGACTTAAAATCAATGCAAAATTGCACTCCAAATCAACTTAAAATATTCTGAAACCCAAATACTAAGTCTATTAAGCACTTAGGCTTGACTAGCTGCACTCTTGGCTAGCTAGCAGTCCTCAAAACTGAAGAACTTGTATTCTGATGCTGAAACTCTTATAGTTTAGAACCCAAATTAATCCAAAACTCAAAATACAGTTATTATTTCAATCCAATCCTCTCTAAGTGACAAAGCAACTTAAATAAATCACTAAGTTGAAGCAGAACTTAAAATCCATTATCCCAGGGACTAGCTACAGTGGGATAGAAGGCCTGAACATGAGGGTGGGTCGCTTGCTTGCTATTTTCCCCTATTTTCTTCTTTTCTACATCAACAATAGGTATAGAATCTATAAATAAAGCATTCAAACTAGTATTTCTTCTGTTTAAAGTAGAATCACACCATTATTTCAGAATGGTGGCACTCCTGGACTCTCTTAGGCTTTCCCAGACCCATCTGGCCACTGTACAGCTTTATTTTAAGCCTACAGTGCCTGTGGGTATCTAACTCTTTTCTGTCTACTCAGAGTTTTAATCCTCTGAGTTATTCTTAGTAGCTTGATTGATCAGACCTGGTCAGACCCAGTCAACTGATCCTATCCACTCTATTCTTCTCCATTCTAAGTCTCTTAGATCACCTGATACCTAGAAAATCCAGACTTTAGGAATTTGAGTCAAAACTTAGAGTGCTAGCCACAGATCATTGGGTCCCTCTTTTTACTACTTCTGGATGATGCTGTCTTTACTCAATACTCCACAACTGGCTATGGTATTACCTCTAGCTATCTTAGAATATACTTGTCTTAGTGGCATGTAGAATTGGCTCCAGTTGAGATACTATTTCTAAGTCTAACTTAGACTTAGTATTTTCTAAGGTGTGGTGCAGAACTTTTCTAAGTTCAAACCTGACTTAGAATTTTTATCCTCATATCATGTTATTTTACAAAGTCCCTTTTGGACTTAGTATTGGTGACTAGCATGACTATCAGCTCAGAGCCTCAGCCATAGTCCTCTATTGGCTAATAGTCCTCAGTTACTAGCATATTCTAATGTGTTATACAGAATTCACAAATTATAGGGCTGAATATGCACTCTGCATATCACCATCTCTCCAAGTTTAGCTCTGTGGAGCATATGACTGAAATGATGACTTTGGAGAAGCAATCAACTATGATGACAATAGCATCATATCTATTGCAATTGGGTAACTCTATGATTATGTCCACTGAGATGTGGGTCTATGGAGATTACAGAACCTTG